GGTCAAATACATCCACACAACAGAGAACCAAACCCATATCAATAGACAAGAAACTAAATTTTCAGTGTTGAGATGATACTATTGATCAGTGAAAATGTTGATATACACTGCTGACCTACAAAGCCTAGTGTAATTACAGGCTCGGTCATCAATAGATATGTACACAATCAATATTTGTCATATGTTCAAGTACACATTGACTGGCAGACAATTAGGGAAGATAATGACAAAGGGAGTCTGTTAATTGCAATTTGTACTAAATCCCTATTTCAGTCCTGATCCAATCAAGGGACAATATTGATGTTGAAATATAACCTGACAGCTTTACACTATACTGAAATCATCAAACATTAGATATTTCACTCTAAGATCAGTTCCTGTTATCTGTCATGTATTTCTGTTTTGAGGAGACGAACAGAAGCTGATTCTGCTTCCACATCCCAGTAGATTGACTGGAAGGGAATGGTTCATTAGCACACAAATACCCTGTTCCTTCCTTCCTCCACAAGTATATTGTTTTCAGAAGCATCTCCAATACTTCATTGATGCAACCTTTTCATTGGTGCAATGAATTCAAGTGAAGTAAAAATGTCCAGTAATTTCTTTCCTCCACTTGTGTACTAATGTATCCTCAACTCCTTTTCTTTATGTTGGATTAGCTTCCACAAAACTGCTTTCCTTCTTAATGACACTCCAACTCAACCTAACATGATTGTTCTCATCTTCCGGAGGCCAGGGAGTTAACTCACTGTATAAGTCCAGTTTCCACCCTAGCCCAACTAGGCTGGCATTTCTGGGCTCAATCGTAGCACCATCAGTGGCTATTTGCTTCAAACAAAATGGTGGCGCCAAGTCATGACAATCTGATTGATTTGCAAAGTGCATCAAATCATTTGAGCACCTTTACAAAAAATATGAAGATTTGGAAAATATCTGTCAACGCCCAGTGGAAAGTATACATGCTTTGCAAATCTTGCAGTCGACGGAAATCTGCACGTTGAAATCCAAGATGTTTACAAACTGGATGTCTAGTTCGTGGCTCAATTCTGATTGGACTATGCATAGGCCTGTTAGTCCTGCCAAAACTCTGGAATTCAAGCCTACTTTAGCAAGTTTAAGGACTTTTACAGTCAGATAACTCCCTTGCGTTAGCAAGATGGATTGTTGTTAATCACGGTGTGTCAGCTGCCTTAAACCCGAATTTGTTGCAAATCTCAGATGTTTACCTCTTTGCTGATACTCACAAGCACAGGCTGAGTGAGTGAGTGAGTATGGTTTTACGCCGCTTTTAGCAATATTCCAGCAATATCACGGCGGGGGACACCAGAAATGGGCTTCACACATTGTACCCATGTCGGGAATCGAACCCGGATCATCGGCGTGACGAGCCAACGCTTTAACCACTAGGCTACCCGACCGCCCCTCAAGCACAGGCTGACAAACCTAGATACTCACAAGCTGACAAACCTAGACACATAATCAGGGCAATTCTGGGACTCCTTTGGGACACAACTCTGGACAGCCATAACAGACACATCTCATAAGAATATAATTGAACAGATAAATAAATATGTTTCAAAATAGAAATCAATGATACAAATACAAATTAGATTGTCACTTTGGTTGTATTTGACCACTCCATTTTTTTCAACATATATGTCAACTGTAAAATAAGATATATAACAGTATTATATAACAATATTCACATCATTCAAATGTATATATAGGTGGAACTAGGGGTGTATTACTCACTGCACGAACAGTCCATGCATCACTTTCACCTATTTATCTCAGTGTACATAATGTATGCATCTTGCTATCCACAAGTGGCAGTTGCATAGTCTATGTCTTCACTGAAGATTTGCATTGATTTTGAACAAATGTATATATGATTTAGAAGATAAAGTTACATTGATCAATATATTAAACAACTGTCTATTAAAATATGCATCATTATTCAATTTTCAGACCTTTCACACTATCTTCCAACTATTATAGAATATATCATTGCTTCATTTCAAAATAACATTTGTCATCAACATGGAATACTTATTGGAATAAAACATTCAAAATATAGATATGCATCAGGTTTGGGCAAAACAGAACATGAAAAGCCTTCATTAGCACTTCATGCAAGTAGTTGAGAGAGGGAGAGAGAGAGAGAGAGAGAGCAAAACAACATGAAAAGCCTTCATTAGCACTTCATGCAAGTAGTTTAGAGAGAGATAGAGAGGGAGAGAGAGAGAGAGAGAGAGAGAGCAAAACAGAAGATGAAAGGCCTTCATCAGCACTTCATGCAAGTAGTTGAGAGAGAGAGCAAAACAGAACATGAAAAGCCTTCATTAGCACTTCATGCAAGTAGTTGAGAGAGAGAGCAAAACAGAACATGAAAAGCCTTCATCAGCACTTCATGCAAGTAGTTGACACATAGAGAGAGAGCAAAACAGAACATGAAAAGCCTTCATCAGCACTTCAAGCAAGTAGTTGACAGAGAGAGAGAGAGAGAGAAAAACAACATGAAAAGCCTTCATCAGCACTTCAAGCAAGTAGTTGACAGAGAGAGAGAGCAAAACAGAACATGAAGTCTTCATTAGCACTTCATGCAAATTGTTGAGAGATAGAGCAAAACAGAACATGAAAAGCCTTCATCAGCACTTCATGCAAGTAGTTGACACAGAGAGAGAGAGAGAGCAAAACAGAACATGAAAAGCCTTCATCAGCACTTCAAGCAAGTAGTTGAGAGAGAGAGAGAGAGAGAGAGAGAGAGAGAGAGAAACAGAACATGAAAAGCCTTCATCAGCACTTCAAGCAAGTAGTTGACAGAGAGAGAGAGAGAGAGAGAGCAAAACAGAACATGAAAAGTCTTCATTAGCACTTCATGCAAGTAGTTTTAGAGGTACACATACAGTCACTTCCCCCATGCTTGGTGTGCTTGTACTCTTTCATCTTGCTTTTCACAATCTGCTGGTTTTGCAGCTAATGCTAAGGCCACACCCTTTGTACTGTTACGGTTGACAAAATAGAAAATAAATAGCATAAATTTATTTTTATTTACCTAACTGCGCCATCCTCCTACACCTACACGAAAAGTAACAATTAACTCTGTAAATAATAATTGATTTAATGGAATGTATGTTGTCACTGCCAACTGAAAAGCCTTCTTCGAAGTTTGGAAGTATATACATATACATGTTACTGCATAAATACAAAACAAAACACTTTAAACAGAGTTATCAGTAACTTCTTCGAATTTAACCATTCTACCCAACACCTTCTTCCAAACAAAACAGACAAAACATTGAGCTACACAAATAGTTTTCAATTTTATATTTTGACCGAAGCAAGCATTGTCTACATAGTGTGATGTTGAGTGTTGAGGGTTCCTTTACCACATTCACAATAATTTAGTTCTCAATAACCAGAATTAGATGAACTGCAGTCATGAAATATCAAACCTTGCAGCTGAAACACTGCCATAAAAATCCATCTAGAGCTTTCAAAGTTCTACTCAACTGCATAAATCACAACATCAATTGGGAAAACATCCAAATCCTCTCCAAAACCCTCCATGACTTCACAAAAAGAAAACTAGCAGAAGCAGTCCAGAATCGCTGCCACAATCAACAGAGCTCTAGGCTATTTCATCCCAATCGCCTTTTTATGAACTCATCAAACAATAGTTTTTCCAACCACCCCACCTAGAACTAATTTATATCCGGTTTTATTGGTTTATTGGCTTTTTTAATTGGCTTCATCATCGTGTGTTCTCTGTCCATCATGTTGTTACTGTATCTTCCTTCTGTTATTAGTTAATCCACTCCTGTTAATCCCTCTGACGAATGATGAAAGTTGAACTTGTTAAAAGTCACATTTGTTGTTTGACATTATATGTCAACATAAAGTTCTCATGATCATGACCGTGAGCGCGGGAGCCTTGACGGTGACTGGTAAAATTTGTTCATACATAAATAAATATCCGGCAATAGCGATCAGCTGCACCAAAGTGCAATGCTTATGGTTATTATTATCTCACATATGTATAGTAAAGCTGCAACTGAAATAACATGATATTGGAATATATTATTCCTGATTAATAATAGTTTCAGATACAATATTCTTCCGATCGTTGCATCAAAATTCTTTAAAGTTATATTACTGGGAAGGTCTTAACCGAATCACTGGTAGATTCCGAGAAAACGGGTGTACAGCTGATGGCTGTTTCCATCCTAGTTTACGAAAAAATACACATGATAATCTTAATCTCTCCATGTAAAACAATGCCTAGCAGAATAAGAAACAGGTTTGGTGATTTTTATCTCAAATTTCAAATTTGTACTGACCGAGTTCGTTATCACCCATTCCTTTACCTGAATTCACTGAAGGGGTACAATGTAATTATTTTCTGTGCATAATGCTAAAAAAAACCCTTTTTTCCCAAAAAAACTGACTCCCCTAGAGGCTATTGCGCATAATACTTGGTTGCACACTATACTAAAAAAAATAAAGTATAAAAGTTGCTATCCATAATTTCTTTTGTCTATTTGAAGTGAATTAAGATCAAATGTAGACAGCGGACATGGGTGTCATACATAGAAAATACTACATTCATTCTCGTTAGATACCATAGAAAGTTCACAAGTTTCATAAAAATGGTATCCAACGAGAATGAGTGTAGTATTTCATTTATTACCGATGTTAAGTATGTATTTAAGTGTAAATACATAACAAGTTTTGTTCGTTAATATCCCATACTGAAACTGGTTGCAAATCTGGTCGCGCATGAATATCGTAAAATGTTGACATTTCTATGCATACGCGTTAACAACATATTCCTGCTGTTGTGTGTTTCAACATGGCAGCATCAACGCTCAAGATCCTTTTTTCAAATTTCTTCAACTTAAGGTAATTCAAGTACATCGGTAATATGCAAGACAACTGTGAGAAAACTTAAAAAGTCAATTACCGGTAGCGCTGCACTTTAAATATAGAACCAACACTCGCACATGACGGGGTCCCAGCATGCAATCAAAATGGTTCGGTTTCCTTGATCTATCAGCTGAATTTGTATCCTGTCTGTACCATTTTGGAAGAGGGAAATCAGTGTGTTCGCCAAAGATGTTTATGTTGACTGTACAACCCGAAACTGAAGACCTGGAAATCAACAAACTCAAGTCTGCTTGCATGTCAATGACTGCTTTCGAACGAAGGGCAAGGTCACCATCGGAAAAAGAAAAGACAACCCTGATCTATTAACAGCGTTTTACGCAAGACAACAATAGGGAATGTTTTTGTTCACATTTCACGATTGATTTGTATCAGATCACTTTGAATGATCTGGTCGTGCAGCCGTGTATGTTTATTTATAAACAAATACCTTTGGAAGCAATGCCACAAAAAACGCATCGCAGGGGACACTGATGGCACAACCGGAGCACCCAACGTAAGTCTTAGATATCTGTCCAGACAGTTTAAACTGACTCCATTTCACAAGCTTAACCTACTACATTAAATCAAATTGAAAGTCGCGAAAGTGGTTAGGTGAGTCATGCTCATAGGGACCCTTGATTTATCGGCACATTGCAAATGGACAAAGCTCGATTATATAATGTCTGTAGTAGCTCTATGCATCACTAATATAGAATGCAAAGTGAATTTGATGTACATGAGTATCTTGTTTGGTTAATAAAGTGTGTGTAAATGTCTCTAGCTTTTATGAGATTACTTCAGTTCTGCCTTGTAGTTGTAAAAGTAAAAGACGTCTTGTGATTTTTTAAGAATGAAAATAGTAGTTCCTGTGTGACACAGTTATCCAATCAAAACAATTAAACTAAGGTCAACCTTGTACAACACACGTGTGACGTACAGATTTAGTATCATAACACCTGTATCTTCAGTGATTCTTCACCATTTGGGTAATAAAACATGTGAACATAAGTATTAAAACTTGAAATGTCTGTATTCCAGTTATCACGACCAAAACACCTTCCTTGAGTAATGAAAATCTAGACAGCTCTTAAAGAAACAACAGAAATCTAACAAATCAAAGTATGCTCAATTTTGGTAAAGTTCAAGATCAAACAATTGTTGAAATCATTAGCCCCCAGTAACAGGATTTGGCACATACATGCAGTTTCATCTAATTCTGATAGCATACAATCACATGCAAATTAATGCTCACTTCTTCCATTCCTTCTCTGATAATACTTTAGGGTAGACATCACAGACAGACACGATGGCAAGAGGCTTTATATAAGTACACAGTTAAAACAAAATGGCCAAATGAAAAGTATTTTCAGTTAGAAGCTGTAGAACTTACGTACAGCTGTGACCGTTCTACAATTAGATCCTAGTTATTCCACTTATTCTATGTAACACCTTCTGTAGGCATGACAATCAACAGCCATAATGAGGACAACACTAACAGAAACTTCCTTACAACATTCATTAGTACCTGGAGAAGACACAGCTTCCTCATATATATTTTAGAAACCTTAACCTATAGTAAGGGGTTAGAAAATACACATAGTTAAAACTTTAACTGATAATTGTAATCTAAAGTTACTGAAAAATAGATTCAGTGATGTTTTAAAATATTATTCAATGTTATCTAACATGTGATTGATAATATGACAAAATGATTAAAAAAAATGTCATCGTGCAATACCCTTCTTTTAAAGCTACCGTTCCACAAGGTGGATGCAAATATAGACATAGAGATATAAAAAATGTAAACAATTCCAAAAACAGAAATCAAGGTGTAAAATACACATTCTCAAAATGAGACCTAATAGTTGCCTATTATTTCTTATCAACAAATGTGAGTGAGAGATTCAGTTCTGTACAAAAACAGTTTTGAGAACCTTGTTACACTGGGTAAAGAATCTGTAATATGATATAAAGAGTTGTGAATTCAACAACCTGGACAACAAGGCACCTGTAAATCAGAACAGGACTGTGTTCTCTTCTCACTGGAGCTTCCAAATGTTATTTGTAGTGGCTGCATAAAACATTCATGATCTCTGAGGTAAGAAAAGAGTTGGGGAAAAGAACTTTACAAATTCTGTACTTGTACATAGCCTTTAAGGTTGGCATATAGGTCATAATGCATAAAGAACATACTCTAAAACCATTTGAATACCTCAACATGATAAAATAACATAGTAATAAAACAAAGTACCTGCAACATTTTCAAACTGAATAAACAAATACTATTTGAACTTGAAACATGTGACATAATTTGAATTAAAGGATGTATGTGAGTGAAGCTCAGGACCAACATGACCAATGGAGCAAAATGAAACAGAGGTTAATTTGTTCTTAAAGACAGCAAGCACACAGTAATGACTTAGAATATAAAAAAGAGATATGACAGAAACATTTGTAGTGGAATGTCGTGAAGCAATATTTCTGTGTTTGTCTTTTTAAAAAGCGGATTTGTAAAGTCCTTATTCGAGGAATTTGTTACATTTCTGTCATTTTCACTGATAGTGCCCTTCAGAAAATAATACTTGAAAACTTGACTATATTCTACACTGGCTAAAAAAACATGTTCTAGCAATTTTGCAATATCATGGTTTAAACAGTAGATGTCAGCTCAAAAACAAGATACATAGCAAAACATATCATCGACTAATTATCTAACATGATCACTTACATGCCCATGTCCATATATAACAAAAACAAGGGATATTTCTTCATTTTGACAAATTTGTTATGAATGATATGCATACTTTCCAAAATGATTTTGTCCACAAATGTTTGGTTCTGACCATTTCAGTTTTGCCACATAGACCCATCCAGGTAATTTTGTTTAAACCAAGGTATTACAATTGATGTAGAAACAAATATCACAATATGACGCAGAATTTTGACTGTTGTTTGGACGAAGGTTGGAATCGGCCATGATTCCGATCACTGAGGCTGACATCCCTTGTAGATGAGGTCATGCCCTCAACAACGCCTGAATGTTTCTTCTGCACACGATGCAACACAATACGATATGTCCCTGTGATGCTGTTCCTGGAATCTCTCCCATTCATTTGACGGAAATGATCCTCACTAATGCCAAGGTCGTCCATAATCTTCCTTGCTTCCTTTTCCTCTTCACCTAAAGACAATGAACCTGTACTAGGGTTCATATTGAATGGCTCCAGGGGGGCTGGAAAGTCCTGTCCTTCTTGCCAATCAGATCGCTTCATTTCGGTGATAGTGAAACGATCTTGTGGAATGTTTTTGAGAATACTACGTATAAGAAACTGACAGCTGTCAGACACATAGGACGGAATGGTGTAGCTACCTTCAAGGATGCACTTTTTCAGCTTGGCGACAGTGTCTGCACGGAAAGGCATTATGCCAGTTACCATGAAGTACAGCATGATACCGAGTGCCCACACATCTACATATGTTCCAAAGTAACTCTCATCCTTAAACAGCTCTGGTGCAGCATATGGGGGTGAACCACAGAATGTATTCAAAGTTTGTTCAGGCTTGCTGCATGTACTGAAACCAAAGTCTCCCACTTTGACTAGCTTTGGAGATGCATAGAACACATTTTCAGCCTTCAGATCCCTGTGAATAATGTTGTTGTCATGCTGAAATGCAGAAACACACAGCATTAGACTTACTGATGCAAATATTACTTAGACAACAGTAAGGATATAGGTTTGAAACTGCCGAATCTTGACAAATAAAAACAAGTTTTCACTGAAACATTTCTCCATTGATCTGCAGACCTCATGAACTTGAGTTCATGTTTTATGGACCAAACATTTATCATGCTAATCATGAACACTGGATATGGTAAAGGAATCTCATGTGTTCAGTTATTTCATACTTGAATCATTATCCATGGACAGAATATCTTATCCTTCTGGCAATGCAATCAAAACAAGAAAACAGAGTTATCACTATCCCCTGCCAAGGGGCACATTAAATTCTTTTTTGTCGATATAGCAGTGAATATAAACTACAAAAGAAAAGTCCTTTAAAGCCTTAAGAAGAGATAGGCACTATAGTTGTTTTCAGTCATAAGAAAAAATTACCATATGTGAAATTAATACACACAATTCTCTGGAAAAAATAATTAATGGCACCAATTCTCCAACTAGGTCTTGATAAGTATGTCTAAGATTTATAAGCTAACTTCAGTAGTTTCTGGGAAAACCTGTCCCCATTGCAGACACTATGCACTTTGTAAAATAACATGGATCAAGGGCCGTAACTCTGTATATGCTCAATATCTAAAAGTAAATACATGAACTCTGTAAAAATGTAATTTACGGTACCAATTTTTGAACTGAGCCTTGACAAAGATCACTAAGACAAGCATGAAAACTGTTGTTCATGTTAGGTCAGTAGTTTTAGAGAATAGTTGTCTACATTTCACTCAATATGCACTAAATTGAAAAAGCACAGAGCAAGGGCCATAATTCTGTAAAAAAAGAAATTTAAGACATCAGTTTTTGAACTCATGTAAGATCATGACCAGTAATATCAGTGTGTAAAATTTCACTTCTCTTTCTAAAATAGTACTTGAGAAAAAGTATGTCCTCTTTGAACAGCGGGACGGATGGATGGACAGCTGGACAAAACTCCATTTCTAAATCTCCAACCCCACAACGTGGCGGGGGATAATAATGTCCATGTTATTATTAATGTTGCATCCTTGTCAAAATATCTTCCGACACCACAGAACTGGCTACTTGATAATCTTATCAGTCCTGGTAAAAAGTTGCCTGTCCGAATTATCCTGGTATCAAAAGGGAAAATGCACCTGTTTTTCGGTTCTTCTAATGATTACATTCAAATTCTTCTAAGTTATTGTATTGGGTATTTATTAACAGAATCACAGGTAGATCATGGGAGAAAATGTGTGCAAAACTGATTGCTATTTCCGGGTTATTTTACCAGAAGAAAAATATATCATTAAGATTGCTGTTTACAACATAAGTCCACAATGACTCACTATCCTTGATCAATCCCTTCTGTAAACGAACAAATCAAGGTGTTACTGAGAATAAAATGAAAAACATTCCGTGTTTGTTAAAAACTGATCAATGCTGTAATGTTAGGCTTTTAATGATTTTATGGTGGCATAGATGCACATTGAAGGACACTCATGTTCTACTGATAGAAAACAAGAAGTGGTAACTTCCTGTGGGAAAGTATCATGTGGGTCGACAGTGAAACAGCAAATCTTGTCATGACAATGAGAATAAAACACAAAACACCTACTTTAATCAACTACAATGGGTGAGTTGTATTGATGAGCCTGGTTATGTTTTGTATTGGATATTTTAAACATTGTTTTCATGTAGATAGACATCAAATACAGCTGCCATGGCAACCATGTGGAATATTTGATTGAGACTCCCAACAGTTCATAACTGGAAAATTAGTGGTACTATTGATGACAAAGTTTTCAATAAACAATAATTTATTTTATAATATACTACTAAAAAAATGTGAAAGACCACCTGATTATTTAAATTACAATCGTTAATTTGTCATGGCTTGACAGATTTACTGTAGTAATATGAAGGAATTGGTTGGTCCTTAACTTTTTTTGAGTACCGGTAGAATATATACATATCAATGATGTCATGCCAACATAATTTTTTAATTTGAAGTTTACACGATATACGTCTTTTCCATTGGACGAGAGGTTGGGCACATGACCGCGAAATTGACGTTCATAAGTGTATGAACAACACAATTTGACGTTCATACGTTTTTCACGAGACCATGTTCTTGAAATGACGTAAACACTGACGGACTGCTTCCACATTCCTGGGGAAACCCCTGGGAATTCCCTAGCACGAAAACATACATAAGCGTTCTTTCTGATCATTGAGAACCTTTATTCGTTTCAGTTTACATTGAGAAATGTCAGAGAGCGTGACTGCATGATTCTAATGCGGCCCATCCTAATGAACAAACGAAGAAATGCACATCTAAACTATCGTAGTATCGACTCGATTCGTGTCTAGGCTGACACTGACCATCTCCAGCAATCTATGAATTTACCTTAGTGTCTGTTTGACGCATCTTTATTCACCTTTCAATGATCGGCCAGTTGATCAATGATGACTAACACATGTAACCGCCACAGGTTCATTAACAACTTCGGAAATCTCTCCCTTCACGTTTATTGTGTAGGCCATTTTGACGTCTTGTACTTGATGTAAATGTATTGACTTACTGATGTAGTTCTTTACAGACCTTTCTCATCTAATGGTGATATCATTTGAACACATGTGTTGTGTAAGATGTTTCTGAAGAGCAAGTTGTGCATCCATACGCTCATGTCACCTCTCTTTTTGAGGAACTATTTTATTCCGCGATATAGCTGGTTGTTGTATAGCTGTCAGTGTTAACATGAAGTCACACGTACTAAATAAAATTGTGTTTAGATCTTGGCCTACATCCTTTGAGGTAAGAAATTGTGATAAAAAATTATAAGAATTGACTTTCACTTTGTGTGAGTTCATTGGAGTATAAACCTTCATTGAGTGAGGGCCAATTCTTAAATATTGAAAGGAACATGTGAAGTCAAAAGGAGGACAAAAATATTTCTGCAAGGGCAATGATTAAAACACACTACTTGACGACACAACTTTATAAAACCTTGCAGATGCTTTCCAAAACGACTGAACATCATCAACCACTTGAATGATTACTTTTACAACTGCCATATTGAAACTCAGCTCATATTTTCAAAGCAACTTTTTTTTGTCTGATTAGTCATCAAAGATTTAATTATTTTAATAGATAAATCTGTTTAAATCTTTGCCAAATCTCTTACATTACAAAATCTACCGTAAACTCATTACATATTAAACATCAGAACAGTTGCCAAAACCATGGCAAAGAAATACTATTAGCACAACTCAATATCAATGAAACTTCGGAAATAGTTGTTCTTAATAAGAGTAAAGGGCAGGAGGTTTCTGTCCAACTACAAGACTACACTAAAACCTAGTAACAGTACTGGCATTAGCAAGAAAACCAGGGTAAAAGTAGAATGTCAAAACTAAGTCTCATTTCCCTTAAACATTCCAAGAAAGATTTGTTTCCAGTCCCCCCTTGTGCAAGCTAATCCCAGGCACCTGTTAATGTTGTACATTTCACAGTGCCATAAATCACCTAACAACACACAGACAACAGTTGCTGCGACATTACTGATCAATAGCATGTTGCTCTGAAGCTGCTACAGATTCACCTCACAAAATAGTACTTTCAATTTCAGTTAATTCATTTTCATCACCCAATTTTCAAGATCTGACTAGTTTTATTATTTATGAACTTAATCTTAAACAATAGTTGTAATTTGAATTGCTCCTTAAACCACTTGTGGGAGCATGAAGTAAAAAGGTCTAAATTCCCGTTTGAAAGTATCAGACTTGTTATGTGTCCCTGGTACTCAACAAGATATGATTAAAGATGAAAAGTCTTACTAGGACTGTAAACACACTCACATCAAACAGATATTCCAACAGTGGCCGGACAGATTGGAACCTTTGTTCAAGGATCAAAGAAGTACCATTGGCACATTCTTTGATCAATATGCAACAATTATCAACTTTAGCAATACTGACACACTTCAGCCTTCTTGTAGTTCATGGAACAGACTTAGCAAGGGAATTATGCAGAAGGATTAGCATGACCTTGGGGCACAAAGCAGTTAAGACTTTTGGGTGGTTAAATTAAGCTGTGATTCTGTGAAATCCTGTCATACTGATGATATAAGGCTTCATATTATTTGCCATATACAATGTTTGCAGCATTAGCTTCTGTGATTACTTACACACAGCTTAGCTTGGAGACAAACATCCTATCTTATTGTCAGTTGCAGCTATCATATCTGTGTTCATATGGAGTGAGTGAAAGAATGTGTTTTTTTGCCGCTTAGGGCTATTAAGAGTTCATACAGACTGGGCCAAAGAAATTCAAGGACTTTTCAAGGCAACAAAGTTAACATGACTAGTACATTTACAGTGATATGGTATCCATCAAGGTAAAGGTTAATGACATTATAAAATTGACAAGGCTGTAATGGGGAATTTATTGAAAGCCAAAACATATTATCAAATATTACATTTTCATAGCCCTAAAGAGAAATAAATTAAATTTAACAAGTACCAATCACATGAGGCATACAATAGAGCTTTGTTGACTTAGCTGTTTACACATGGATTTCACTGTCGAAAATATGACCAGCAAATCTAGCAACAAGTAAAATTCAAGTACAATTTATTCATCTTCAAGGCCTGAAATATAATAGTGTTTCAATGGCAATAAAATAGTAGCAGGGCAGTGTAGCTCATCTGGATGTCAGTCAACAGTCTGAAATGTCAACAAAGACAGCCAAATGTTGCTGTCAGCATTGATATTCAAATATTTCTACATAAATACAAAACAAGAAAAAATACATGCCAAAATTCAGCTTTGTATGTCTGGCAATTTCAGAGGAGATATTTACAGAGCCATGAGATATGGTTAAAAATGGTGTTCAGGCCAACTACTACCCATTTGCTAACTACACATATACCAAATTTTATAACTTTATAACCAAAATGGTTGAATAATGTACACAAATAGGCTTTCAATATGGCTGCTCTCCAAGAATAAGGTTTTAAATACTAATATATGGGGTAACCACATTGAGAAAGCTAAATACAATTAATGATACTCTTATTCTAAATATATTGATATGGTGGGTGATTTCCCAGTAGAAAAGGATGAATTTGGCCAAGAAGTAAAACAAAGGCACCTGGCACAATGGAATGCACAGCACCTGCCAAAGACCCCCACTTCAAGTTTTCACTTGGGCATAAGTATATTTCCGAATTCAATTGCAAAATCATGATCGATCATACCTCCATTACATGTGGATAGCATGAAGCCTTATACCAACCAAACAATATGGTTCAGTATGAAACAAATAGTGATATAACTGGCAAAAACACCTACCCACATAGTCCTACATGAGTCAAACCATCCACTGATATCAAAAAGTATATATGCAGATGTTTACCAATCACATATTCTTAGGTTTGGTTCATTATGGCATTCAAAACAAAAATGTGGTTAATAATAATCAATACCTAATGGTAAGAAATACCCAATACAATAACTTAACAATAGTACCAACATGTCCCCCAAAAGAAAAACAAGAGCAAATTATTAGTCAGTCAGGTCCTCGATGGAAAACCATCTCTTCGTTTCTGACAGAAAAACATCTATAACAGCTATTTCAGTTTATTGTGTGGTTCGCTTACGTTTCTCAGTGACATATAACAAGTTTTAGTTTCGATGACCCCCCACAACATGAAAATAATGTTACTAGAACTACCAAACTACCTAACACTATTGACAAATGTGTGACTTGATGAAGCATATTCTAGTTGACATAGGACAATATGTTGATGAAGTGGATCAACGGGAACACCAATAGCAATTTCAAAAAATCATTTAGATTTTCAAAATAAAAGTTGAATACTGTTAATATGTATTAGAGGATATTCCTAAACCAGTGAATCAGGTGACCTAGATACTAAATGATTTAGCTGTAATTACATTTCTGTTGAGTGGCAGGTGGAAATCTCTCTTGTTGACAACAAACCATTGACCAACATCCCTAATTACATCGGGAGCGCGCTGCGTGGCCAATACCTAAAGGATTAACATAATATATGCAGGTAGTGCTGCCAGGCAGACATGATGGTATCATTTGAAGGAATGAAGGATTTAATGTTGATAAGATAGGGACTGTGTCACAAGGGTGGGGACCAGTAAACTGATGTTTACCTATATTGTATTGAAAGTCGTATTTTGAGTGAGCTAGAACTCATATCCAATCAATTTGTGAGAGTGAGCCTAATTGAGAATATTTAGCGTCACTCGCTAATAAACATATTAACATTGTTCATTAAGGATATAAATAAAGATGCCAAAGTGTCATTGTGTCGCTGCAACACTGCACTACCACAGTTAGATATCTAGTTCAAGTTAAAAATACATAAAATTTATATATCATTCATCTGATCGTGGAGGTAGAATCTTGGTTTAAGAAGAGACATGCCTGGCAGTTTTGGGAATGCATGATGAAAAGCTGTCCAGCAAGACTTTCACCTACAAATGACATCCTTACCAGGATGGGCAGCGCACACAATGTTGATATCAAGGAAAGTATTAGGTGAGGTGAAATGGGGTTTAACATCGTGTTCAAGATTGCTGCACTTGGGTAGTGTGTTAGTGTTTTTGTGTGTGTGTTTTTTGTGTGTGTGTTAAGTGTGTGTGTGTGTGGCTACTTGTACTAGTCCAGACAAATAGCAATTTTATAGTGCTAACCCTATATAATGCCATGCCACAGTTTAACATGCATACATAATCCAGACACAATATACTCTGAGCTTAGCCTACCAATCCTTGTTTTAGCCTCATAGTGCAGGGCACCAGGCAGGGTAACAAGTACCATCTTTTAACGTCTTTCGGAACCCACAATCGTCTGCTCTCCAGGCTGACACTCTATCCACTAGACCACCGAGGTGGTCTCAAGGCAAGTATTAATTATGCTACTGGCACTGGTGCAGCCATTTTTAACTTGAATTGTATCTCACAGATACATATCGAAATGTACCCTGGGTACATAATGATGGTATCAGGTGGAGAACGACCTCATTGGCTTCACTTATATGATCATAATGCATGACTGACTTATGGCTACATATAACTTAGACATTAATGCTTCACAAATCTGTGCTTACCATGCTGAGTGATCAAGTATTTAGGTGCATTCTTGATAGCATACAGGAGAATAATTTATCACAAATGATCAAATGTAGCAAGCCAATTGGGAAAGTACGTTTTCTACTCTACAGATCCTCAATAGTTCAATATGCACATATTCCCTTTCAGAATCACATTGTTAAACGCCGGCATCTATGCAACAATGTCAAGACCTTATGTTTTAGACGCACAGGCAGATTGACAAATCAGATTATTGCAGATTTTCTGCTACATTTGTAAGATAATGTTTCCATGACAAAATAAAGTATTTTATGTCTACAAACTGTTACAGACATAATTCAGGGTGCACAGATTATTAGATTTTCATTGTTTCTATTTAAGAAATTGTAAAGGATGTCTGACTTCTTTTTCCATGGGCAAGATTATGTCCATTACAATACATCTTTATCATACAGTTCCTTAATGACATGATTATGCTGCAGAAATCCTTTCAACATTCCTCACCATGTGTTCAACAGCAGCTACGACTTGAGCAAAAAGTAATTTGGCTTCAGCTTCAGGCAATTTGCCTTCGTTGGACAGTTTCGTGAAGAGTTCCCCTCCGCAAGCATACTCCATGACTATATGTAGTTTGGCAAGGGTCTCTACCACCTCATACAGACGTATAATGTTTGGGTGGTGCAGCTTCTCCATGCTGGAAATCTCTCGTGACAACAATCGCTGTGTCTTAGAATCTAACTTGGTCTTGTCCAATATTTTGATGGCAACTTTTTCTGAAAAGAATAAACATATTGGTAACTACAAACTTAACTGAAAACGATTAAATTGATGATTGCTTTGTACCCTTTTGATACATGTCAAGAATGTGAAACAAGAGGGACTTCTCTTATCAACAAGAAAACAGCGTAAGAAGAGAAAGGCACTAGGGTCGCTTCATGTCATCAGAAAACAAATATTAAATGTAAAATTAATGTGGATCAAGGGCTGTAACTGTGTATGCTCAAAATCTAAAAACATGTAGTAAGGGAACTAACTCTGGAAGAAAATCATTTACGTGACCAATTTTTTAACAGTCTTGACAAGTATCTCTTAGATATGCATGCAAACTTTCTATCATGTAATATCAGTAGTTTCTGAGAAAAGTCATCTCCATTGCAGACACCAGTTGAAATGCATGGAGCAATGGCCATAACTCTGTAAAACAAATAATTTATGGCTCCAGTTTTCGAACTTAGTCTTGAAAGTATCTCTTAGATAAGCATGCAAACTTTCATTCATGCAGTGTTAGCAGTTTCTGAGAAAGTTTGTCCCAATTTTATGCAGTATGCACTAAGTTGAAAAGCATGGAGCAAGGGCCTTAACTGTGTACAAAAAGAATTAAAGACACCAATTTTCATACTCATTTAAGATCATGACCAGTAATATTTGTGTGTAAACTTTTATTTCTCTAACTTGAACGGATTTGAGAAAATGTGTTTGTCCCCTTTGAGAAGCGGACAGACGAAGTTCATTCCTGTATCCCCAGCCCCACTTCGTGGCAGGGGATAAAAATATACCCAACTACTGTTGGAAGTTCAGTGACACACAGCTGAACCATCTCTTACAGCACAACAAAATTTGCTCCCAGTGAGCAGAATGACACTTTCTCAAATTAGATCTGTTTAGCCTTATCAATGTCTCACAGATGACACATTTCTCTGGCTCAGCTTTCAAAGAGACAAACATGCCAGAAAAGAAGGACTTAATTATCAGTTCCTGTCTTCAGAACTAGAATCACAACAAGGACATGAAAGATCATCAGTGGGGGTTAGACTTCTCAAAATACATGAAGAAAAATAATTGATTACCATGGGAATAGAATTACTGCAATATCTCCACACTCTCTATGAAACTTTGAGCCTCTAGGATTCATGTAGGCATTGTCTTCTTACAAGCTTACAGCATTTGGTATTTTCACTACAGAAAACCATATCACATAAACTGTACCCCAACTATACCTCAATGTCTTGAACTAAAAACAAAATCAACATTATTGTTTTGAAAGTTAAATTATCATTAAAATGTTTAAGAAGCATGAGATGTATGAATTATGACTGTTATTGTTATTGTAAGCTGCAACGTTTGAACCAGAAATGGACAGTCAGTTTGTCTAATGTTATCCCATTAACTAGGTATCCTCAGGGTTTGGGTTAGTGGAAATTCAAGTTGGTTTTTTTTCACACCACTGAAAAATTAACGATTGTACCAGAAATGGACAGTCAGTTTGTCTAATGTTATCCCATTAAGGTATCCTCAGGGTTTGGGTAAGGGGAATTTCAAGTTGTTTTTTTTCATGCCACTGAAACAATGCAGCTTGGCCCTAGTCCACTTGTCAGTCAGTTTGTTTAACGTCATCCTGTTAAGGTATCCTAAGGATTGGTAGAATTTCAGGTGTGTTTTTCAGGCTACTAAATGTTTCAGTTTTAGTTGTATCCCTGTTGAACATGTTGATCGGGGCAAACTTTGTTTTGTTCATGCATTCCATGGAAATCATACACACACTTTTTCCAATGGACCAACACACAAAACATATTGATTTTAAGATCTTCAGTGAAGTAAAATATACTCACAGAAGTCTTTGCCTTCATTCTCATATACAGAAATTGACCTTTTGGGGTGTATTAGTATCATATGCACATCCAAGAATTGGCTTCATGAACAGTGTATCAGATTGGTTCATTTTCTTGTACATTGACTGATTGTCATTATTGTTCTATTGAAAAATGTCTTATCAAAAGTTGACAAAATCACCATTTGTCTCTCTCAAAACCATTGCATGAACATGCAGAATCAAACCAAGGTATCTTACCTCACAAGTGACTACTTCACAACTAAGACGTTTGCTGCCCAACCACCCTATCATGGCTGAAAAGTACTGTGCCTAACTTTAAAGGACTGCAATGATGGAGTTGGTTGGTAATTATTTTTCAACCTAATCCCCTCCAAGGTCCACATACTACTGATATTGGTGTTCGAATGTTGGAGTGCTAACTCCTGGGGGAGTACACAGCTGTAATGACATCTACATTTGGATAATGCTTGCGAGACGGTTCTTTCTTCAAGTTTGGAAAGAGGTGGAAATCTAATGTTAAATACGGAGGATGTTCAGTGAGTTCAAAGTTATATTCATGTATTGCAGCCATTGCGACATTAAACTTGTGCAGTTTCCTGGTGGAACAATAAACCTTTAGTGAATGTTTTACGTTGATTAGCCTCTCTCACTGATGCCTAAGCAGTTTAGTATAATATTGGCCATTAATGGTCTGAGCTTTCAGGAGTTTGTCCACTAGTAGGATTACTTGGGAATCCCAGAAAAGCTAAGCCATCACCTCGTCAGCTGATGGAACAGACATCAACTTCTTCTTCAAAGGAGATATCTGATGTTTCTACGGCTTTTACCGTTGTTTAGTTTCTGGCTGGTAGTGTTGAACCCAAGATTCATCCATGGTTACAAATCAACAAAATTATCTGGGTCTGCTTCTAAACGACATAAAATCTCTCAAGAGATGATGAACCTGAAGTGATTCTCTTCAGGATTCAGAAGCCTAGGAACCCAGCAAGCTGAAACCTTTGTCATGTCCAGTTCATTCCTCAGAATGTTCTCACCTCCCTCAGGAGAGATGCCTACTGCACTCGCTATGTGATGTGACATGTGGTGAGTTTCCTATCATCCATAATCATAGCGTGGTATTTTATAAACATTTTTCGTAGTTGTGGCAGTTGAAGGTCTTCCTGATCTTGAATCATCTTCGAGGCCCTCCCTTCCCTCCTTGAACTGCACTGCCGATTACTAACAGCAGCAAAGAAAGGAGCATCATCCCTAAAGATGACACCATGTCCATATGCATGGCTGTGGGAGTTAGCCCTTTTAGTTGGAGATACCTTATATTAAATTATAATAGCACAGGAGCCAACTTAGTCGACTCTCATCAACAGAAAATACCTGCCTGCAGAAATTACTCCACCTAGTTCAAATACAGCCTGTAGGTATCGAAAGTACAGTACTTAATATGTGTTAACTGTTAATGGTGCACTATACATCTTTTGTAGTAAGATTCAGAAATAAAGACTTCGACATCTTTTTTAGTAAGATTCAGAACTTTTTAGACATCACTGGTACAAATATATTGCATAATTTAGGAATGTTAAGGTGTACCATATATCCTTCCTTCATCTGTGCAATGGAGGTTATGGATATAAATGAGTAAATTGACATAATGAAAACACATATCAAATTTCTTTACAACTCTTTTTCTTGTCAAACATATGTTGTTTGGAATGCTCATACGGCATTTATGGTGGAGTGAATTACCAAATTCAAAATGTAATTACTTTCTGAAAATGCGCAAATTCAATGTAACATTAAATTCAATAATTGGATGTGTAATCTGGTGGTGTGGAGATACTGATAACGTTTAGTTGGGTAATGAAGAATGCGGTCTATTCATGGGTCATGTCCCTGACCCCAATGTGTTACACAATCTGTACCTAAATGAGTGACTGACATTGATCACACTAGGTGTCAACTGCTGTCAATGTTGGTAACATATGCCTGCAGGCACAGTTATTTATATTGATCTATATTCCCAATCAGCTATTTGGCTTCATGTCCTCCTCCCTTGATTGATAACTGTGACACATATGATTATACTGGGTAAATATAATCCATGGCAACCATGAGGTTTTATGAACATATGACACTTTTTTATGTATGGCAACTTCTTTTATTCTTTATACGATGTTTCAGAACTACTTCTTGCTCCTTCATCAGGTGAACGAGGTTTTAACATATACTTCTAGATCAATGTTGAGATAAAACCAAGTATTGATAAGTGCATTAGGACAGAGTTTAGTGTTTACAGTGCACATTACCTATGATAAGCAGGAGTATTAAAACTCAACAACCAACCATGAGGCCATATCAAAATGCTTTGAAAACTGAAGCTGATCTTCTCTGGAAACATGGTTGGGCATCAGCTGATGACGGGGGATGCAGTGATATATACATTCTACCATGACATTGAAGAATTCTTGATTCAGATTGGTTAAAAAGAGGTTTCCTTTTTGCAACAGAATTCTCTTTTATATATATAAAAGCCTTTTTACACAAAAAAAACATGAGTATGAATACAGTGATAGCCAACTTATCAATCCATAAAAAAATGGCTGCCAATCACTGATCTGATCTGTATACGGTATTGATATTTCCCGTGAAATTAATAGACGTCCCATCGTTTAATGGAGGAAATACGGTATGTGTGACATCGGATGTTTTTGGCAATGATTTTGATGCTTTAGGCGGTGACCCAGACTGCTTTGATGATGAGATTCAGATACAGCAACAAACAGTTTTATTTTAGCCCAGGCTAATTGATATTTGTTGACATCACTGTCAAACACCAACAGGAATTGGCAGGAGGGGATTTGAAAGTACATCGAGAACACTCCTCTCTTCGAAAGTCCACAGAAACTCACTTGTCAACTAATAAGTCACAGCACAGGAACTTGACCACCAGCTTATCAAACATGGTGAAATTCATTTCAGAACACGCACAATGAAGCCAAACATACATGAACCACTGTCTTGGGTCCTTTCACTTGCTAGCGTTGAATAACCATGAAATCTTGAAACCGACAGGTCACAAACATGCAGCCCCTTGTGTCATAAAATGCCGGCTTGTATACAGCCTAAAAAACATCTGTTCAGTCTACAGGTTAATGTTGAACCACGTCATAGATCGGGGTTGTCATCTTGCTTCTTGTAACTTAAATTGTCAGAGGCATGGATTGAGACTGTCAACAACAACATTGGCAGCCATATTGACAGTAGGGACGAGAGAGCATGATGTAGGTCAAGTTCGACCACATCCGCTTTGGGGTGGACAAGCATGTATTTTCATTTTGTATAATTTACTATTTGCTAACTAACTAATAATACTTACACATTTAGAATACACAGTAGAATGTTAATCAATAAACTTTGTTGGAGAAATAAATTCGTTTAGCATTATAAAAAAAATATCTCTACAACCTATCAGTCTTGCAATGGCATATTCAATTAGTAATATTTATACTTAATATACCTGTGACCCCTTTCTGGAATGTTTTAAGATAGCAGGCCTTTGTACCCAGTGTAGGTATGCATTGCCAGAGAGCCCATTTTCAAAGCTAAAAGCTAAAGTGCTCTGTTCCAAATTAAAATAAGAGGTATCTACTCTACAGTGGGACCACATCAAATTTCAAAACACAGTATGTTTATCTCCTAAATACTGTCTAATTAATAGGGCTGGGACATAGTACACCAACGTATTACAATACATGTACTTGCATATAATGGTGTGCTCTTATTTATGGTGAGTATGCCATCTTCTTCACAGACATGATGGCCAAATACCTGCCACACTGACAATTTACAGTTGTCAGGATTTTTAGCCTGAATATCTTGCTGTTGTGCCTCTTACTGCAAAGCTGACAAATCAAATCTTGTTGTGATTGAATTTTGCCCAGCCATCAAATTGTTCGGTTCAGCTGAAGCCAAGCTCCTCACAGCGATAGCCTGTTCACGGAGCTCTCTATACTAGCGCTGCCACCAGTCAAAACTCCCCACTGTGATAGGTGACTACAACCGTGCTTGGAGTTGAACTGGCAACCGACTGACCATTATGTTTACAAACAAGTGGTGACTGTCGATCGTGACGCCGAATATTCTTACCCAAGCTTAATCATTTTCTTTGTCAATTTGAATTTCTATTTCATTCCAACTAATTCGTATAATTGGTATAGTAAGAACGTCATTTTCTGTTAGTCTGCAATCTCGAACCAATCTGATTAAAAAAACAACAAGAGTCATCGGAAGATGACATATCCCCCCGACGTGGCATGTCGGTAAACTGTGTGTACCTTCAAATGACATTACCCTCAATTCATCAATTTTCAATTTAAATTGAAAAAAGAAAAAAAAGAAAAAATCTGAGCAAAGGCACCACTACATAACCTGCTTGATAGGTGTAAAAACTTTTGAGAAGCTAAGTTGTATGGTTCGGGAGATATGGTCCGAACAAGAGCACTACCCTCAAATTTCCTAAGGTTCATCATATTTCCATGGAAACGACAAAAATATAAAATTCTTAAAAACTCTAAATAGCAAAAGGCACTTCTACTGATCCTGATTGTTAAGTGTACCAAGTTTTGCGAAGCTAGGTTGTACGGTTTAGAAAATATGCTCTGGACAAGAGCAGTACCCTCAAATTTCCTAAGTTCATAATATTTCAATGGAAACGACAAAAATATAAAATTCTAAAAATCTCTAAATAGCAAAAGGCACTTCTACTGAGCCTGATTGTTAAGTGTACCAAGTTTTGGGAAGCTAGGTTGTACGGTTTAGGAAATATGCTCCGGACAAGAGCACTACCCTCAAATTTCCTAAGTTCATAATATTTCAATGAAAACGACAAAAATATAAAATTCTAAAAATCTCTAAATAGCAAAAGGCACTTCTACTGAGCCTGATTGTTAAGTGTACCAAGTTTTGTGAAGCTAGGTTGTATGGTTTAGGAAATATGCTCCGGACAAACAATGATTACAGACGGACGGATGGACGGACGGACATACTGATGGCTATATCCCCCCCGTCATTATATTTCGGGGGAATAATAAGATCTGGGAAACCTACATTTGGGGTTAGAGGGCAAATTTCAAGATTCTTGTAATGGTCATGCCCACACTGTCAGCAGCGATGTTACCGAGAGTGTAACGAAGGAGCTGGGAAGGAGCTTGAGCTGAAGCACTAGAAGGGCGGTAACTCTAAACCAACTGTGTAGATAATATATGGTACAGTTGACTGCATACCTAATATTATCTACACAGTTGGTATATTCAGTGTTCATTGGACCTGTCAATTAAGACAAGAGGCGAAAAGAACAGCAACAGTCAGACTGTAACGAACCGGAAGAAATATGTCCAGGAGAAGGCGGCTGTTTCAAATTACATGGTCAGTTACCGCCAGATTCAATCATTACTTCCCTGATTACAGTAAAACACATTTGCAAAAATGCTAGTTAGAAATGAAACCCGAAGACATGAAAGTTGAACTGAGGCGAGCAGAAAAAAACAGGCGAGCGAGCCTGCACATTTGCTGTTTCATTCATTCTTGGCCTTCCGTTTCAAAAGTTTGTTTGGACAATAAATATGCATGAAAGTCGCTAAATGTCCTGTGCATGACGATACATGTAAGCAGAAAGGGAATTCCCTTGACTGTAATATTGGGATTCCCCGACATTCCGAAGTAATAAAAGTAGTGCGCCTCGGTGGGCGTTGCTTAATTTTTAACATTCATTGGGAAATGAATGTAATAACACGTGACCAATTCAGCTACTCAGAACACAGGAATTTCAATGAAAACAACGAAAATTTAATTATTTCATCATCACCTTTACTACAACATTTGTCTAAGACTGACTAAGTGTCATGTCATGCTGGTTTGAAATCATCCTATTTTATACAGATAATTACTTTTTATGAGGTCAATATGCGAGAACAAAGGACCCGATCCCTAAGGTGATCTGACCGGACTAAAGTTGCAGGTCCAAGGGTCCTTGTGTTCACATACTGAACTGATCAAGAGTAATCATTTGTATGGTTATACCGAAATTCACTTCAAAGTTTATACAGCCTCTAAATCATCCTCTGTTTCAAAACATATCTATAGAAGCCATTGACTACAGTAACTTAGCTGCAAACCGTGAAAAATGTTACTACCTGATGCCATCTTGTTTTCTAGCAGACGAGTCAGTCACATGATTTTGGAGTCTACATTGAAATGTATTGTTTCATCATGTGGAACAGAATAACCAATGGAATTGCAAGATTCTTAATAGGGGTGTAACAATTCTTAAAAATTACTTCAAGGACACATTACTGACTTTTATTATGAAATTTGGTTCATGCAAGTCCATCTGCAACCACAATGGCATGGTGTACTCACCCTTGGTTAAGGCATGGATCCCCATTTTAACTTGGGAAAAGTTGCCAGTTCCAAGTTCTCCTCGTATTCTATAAAATCCTATCCTCTTTCCAAGAGTGATTTCTTTCATACACTTGTTGTCATTGCTGAGATCATGTGACAGTCTCTCATAAGGGGTGGGTCGCTTCTCTGGCACCTCATGCCCCTCATGGTTTGGTTGAGATGAAGTGGCCGTGATCTCCACACCAGACTCAACACTGGAGTGCTGGCTATTGATGCTCGCTGCAGTCTCTCCATTGGTCGGCATATCTTTCATTTTGCAGTGACAACAATCACAGGATTTTTGTTTGTATTCCTTGCCATGATATGGACCTACTAAAACAGGATCTTTGATAGGAGCCGTTTGCTTTTTCCACTTGCTCCTCAAGTCTGTTCATGATCTGTAACAAACAGAAGAACATATATTAAAGTCAGTAATGAAGATATCTGCTGATATTGATTTTGTGGAATAGTTTGTAATGCATTGACAACATCTGTAGCTCCACAACAAATCAAATCAAATGTCAACAGATTTCTGCATTGGAAGTGTGTGACATAACACATCAACATACAGCAATAGCAGGGAGAGGATTGAACCACACAAAATCAATACCAATCTCATCTTCAATCATACCCAATCACAACAAAAACATTGCCTAACAATGACGTGTATGCGATTGTACACCTGTTCAAAACTCATTTTGTCACAAATACCACGAAACATAAAACTATCTAAACCATACATACCTGTCCCTGCACATAGTTTTCCTCATATTATTCAATACTTTCAATGATACTGAAGTATACCGGTCAAAATCTTCTTGGTATTTATGCATATATGCTCATGATATTCTGTTGTACTAACTTCGGATGGAGGATTGAAGGATTGGAGTAATGTTTCCCTTAACTTGTACCCAAGAAGGTGGGCTGCTTGTACTAGTACGGACTAATGCTGATATTATAGTGTTAGCCCACTGAGATATCATGCTGCAGTTTAATATAAATACCCAGCTCAGACACAGTATACTGACTCTGAGCCAACCGGTCCTTGTTTTTGCCCCTTAATGGCGAGCACCAGGCTGGGTAAATAACAAGTACCATCCTTTAACGTCTTTAGGTATGACATATGGGATATCTCAATCACTTTTGCCACCAACAAGTACAATCATTTAATGAATCATAGACATAAGAACTGCAACTGTAGTGTTATTATTGTCTTTGTACCAGACCATCTTGTGAACCTACCCATTGAAATCACCAGAAATGGACAAAACTGGCTATAGGGCAGTCATCAAGTACCTGCAACTGAAAGGGCTTACTCCAACACAGATACATGCTGACATGGTCTCCACTTTAGGGGATGATGCCCCTTCCTTTTCCACTGTAAAGAAGTGGGCTGCGGAATTCAAGCGTGGCAGAGAGAGCCTTGACGATGACCGGCGTCCAGCAAGGCCTTCAACAGCAACAATTCCGGAAAACATTACCCGGGTGCATGACATGGTGATGGCTGATCGACGATTGACCACTTGACATATTGCCAGTGTTGTGGGCATCTCTCATGAGAGGGTTGAGCACATTATCACCAACGAGTTGGGAATGACAAAAATTTCGGCAAGATGGATGCCAAAGCTCTTGACAGCGGATCAGAAACGTGTCAGATTCCTGACGTCCCGTGACAATTTATGCCGTTTTGAAGCAGATCCCAAAGATTTTTTGGCCTGATTTGTAACCATGGATTAGACCTGGATTCGTCACTTTCAACCAGAAACCAAAAATCCCTTCTGCTGGAAAGGTGATGGCTTCAGTCTTTTGGGATTCCAAGGGTATTCTGCTGATTGACTATCTTGAAAAAGGCCAGACTATCAATGGAAGATATTATGCTGACCTACTGAGACAGTTGCGGGAAGCTATCAAAGCTAAGCGACGGGGAATGCTCACAAAAGGAGTCCTGTTCCACCAAGACAATGCTCCTGTTCACAAATTGGTGGTAGCCATGTCAGCGATCCATGATTGTGTCTTCGAACTCATTGACCATCCCCCTTATTCACCCAATTTGGCCCCGTCAGACTTCCACCTGTTTCCCAAAATGAAAAAGGAACTAGCCGGTCGCCATTTTCCTAGTAATGATCATGTCATTTCCGCTGTGAATGACTTTTTTAGGGTGGCTGAAGAAAATGTCTTCTTAACCGGCATCCAGGCCTTGCAGCATCACTGACAAAAGTGTGAAAACCTGGAAGGGGACTATGTGGAGAAATAAATGAAAACCATCGACTTGGTAAAGGTCTTTCACAGTTAGGCTTAGAACTTTTCAGCCAGCCCTCGTACCATGCCACAGTTTAACATAAATACAGCAAACCACAGCTTGCTTCCTCTCCAAAACACTGATGAAATCAAAACACATGATACTGCAATGCAACAGTGAACTTCTCTATTATCTATTGTGTTGATACTCTGTATCAGATGGGCATAATGTTCATTTGAAATTAAAATGAGATCAGATTAATTCAAATTTCAGCTGCCTTCTATGACATACATATTAAGCCTACACATTCCCTGGACCAACTCCACTCCGGACATTCAGTCCCAGTACTTACCCACAACTCTGATTACATACATTAACCCTTTCACTCAACAGGCTCAATGTGGTGTATGCAATAATACACATATTCCCACACACATTGAACACAAACCTTTGTGAAGAAAACATGTGTCCTTTGTTTTGGCTCTGATCTCACATTGCTATTATATTTATGCTGTAATATGGTCTGAATTGACAAATGTATTGATGAGTGAGAGGTTATCAATGGTTAATATTGACTAACAATGTGCCCGCTGGTTAGATCCAGATTACAGGAGAATGAGCAGGCAAGCGCCATCAACTGTTTACCATGTTTCCTAGCTATGCCTGGTTTGTTTGGGGTTAGTGCAGTGAACTTCTGCTCTAACAAAGTGATAAAAACATCTCCCTTGCTGTATTTAGCGCTGGGCAAAAGAAGTCTACTGACTCCTGGAAATGAGTGCAGACCTCTCACCTTTACATGAGAAGCTTTGGAATTAATAAGATGTAGTTAAACACAAAACATTTCTTTTTATTTTGAAGAAGCACCAACAAATGAATGAGTTTAAAAAAAATTGTTTTATGCATCAATATAACAGACACAAATCTATTTCATTTAATACTAATCTGAGTTTTTTTAGTTGACTTATAAAAATGTCAAACCTCTTTCACAAAATGCAACCCTTTAACTTATCAAATGCATTGTACATGTGGTTTTGTGACAGACCACTGCAAACATTTAATTAAGAGGACAAACCCTTCTTCGACGTAGTGAAAACCTAGACTAACATCTTGTCTCTGAAATGAACTATTATACAGAAAGAAAAGTTGTTAAATTATAGTTATAAAATATAAACAAAAAGGAGCCCAGAGAATTTCATCATTTTCAGATACTGCAGTTATCTAGACTTACCAAATATTATAGACTTGCATGGGATGTATTGGATATATTTGTTTCTGAGTCTGCATGACAAACTAGTGAAAACCCTGCTCAAATAACCACCCCTCACTAACTTCTTTACAAAACTGACAGGACTGTCTGCATTTTCTTGTGTATACTAATGATTTTTTACACAAAACAGCATTGTAGTTGAGGAACATCGGGTTTTCTATTTTTTGAAAAGGTTTAAGTTTCATGGATGTTTGAACTAAGTTTCCCAATCTCGGAAAACAAATTGAAATTACATTTGAAGTTTTAATATGTCTTGTTTTAATATGAACTCCTTTTGTCAATTTTCTAAGAGCTGGGGCAATTATTATGACGAATATGTCAGGTAGACCATGACAGTTTCAAGGAAGAGAAAAAAGGTGTGTGTTCTGTGTGCACTTGATCTGTTTTGTCAAATTATGAACGGGACATTATAAATGAATGAAGATCTGTTTGGGGCCTTTGGCTTATGGAATAAAAATGTCAATGTAGTGACTATCCCACACAAGAGGTAAACTTGTCAACAATACTGGCATCATTCCCCAGACTTGTATTTGATGCTAGGGGTGTCATAATATGCCCACCACATGTATCGGTACATATCACAATACTTAAGTCACGATACAATACAAACCAAGTTACCAAATGTGCACCATTTTGTTTGAGTTTGTCCATATGGTCATGCAAACAAAAGAATGTTGCTATCAACCAGTGTGTATTAAGATTCCATGACTGGTTCATGTAGACTTGTCCTAATGGTATTATGCAATCAGATTAAGCATTTCCTTTGTGAACAGGTGGTAAGGTTATGCCAGCCTAGTGTTTGTTAGGCCAAGTCATTCATGTTTGACATAAATTTTTCCCTGCTTGCATAGATTCCTAAGTGCAGGTGAACTTATGCAAGTCAATCAGTGACTCACATTACAAACTGCTTGTTCTTATCAGGATATCGAACACTGTATTGGAGTGTCTGTATGGGACGGTGTCAGTGACGTTTCATGTCACACGGATCAGGACTTGATCCGTGTACATGGCCTTCACACAAAACACAGGGTTCTGCTGACAATAACAACTGAAATCTTCACAGTGGAAAAACATACATTGTTAGCCACATCTATTTCTTAACAGGCTTAATATGTTCGCTACACAGTAAATGATATTCAGTTTAAAGACAGGTATTAATTACAATCAACAAATCAAACTTTGCATTTTCAGAGTGAGTGCAAGAGTACCATATAACAACAAAGGCAGTTTTCCTTTCTGGTTTATGATGCAATGTCATAATTGAAAAAGGACCTATCAACACAGTGAATATCGACTTGTATACACATAACTCCATATAGGCTGACTGCAACTTCTTACCTATCAAAAAGACAACCAACCTGCCTTACCCCCCAAAATGTCCATTCAACAGCAGTAGATACAAACACTTTTAGTCCACTAGATAACAAAACACTAAAAAAGGCAAATTTCTAGTATTCCTTATGATACCTCAACTATGGGGTAGTTTGGCAAGGACTACAGGACCAGTGCCAATTTCTAATGCTGTACAATAACATTACTATCTACTGAAAATGATAATTTGAAAACAAAGTTCAGGCAAATACCGGTAAACACAAAAGTTTTGAAACGGAATAGATTGTGAACAGAGTTCAACGTGGAAGTCTGTTGGTATGAATAGTTCAAACTGAAGTGTCAACTGGTTGGATTTCACCTGTGCCTGCCTGCAGGGGTGCAACTAGGTTAATTTTAAGTGTAAGCAGGGCCAATTTAGGAGGGCTTGAAGTGCCCGAGTCCGCTAGTGGGGCTAGATTTTAAAATCAGATCTAAGTTCTCGCTTCCGCTAAACAAAGATCTAAGGACATCCAATTAAGGGTCACGTCAGAACAACCTTTCGCGAACTTTGACCGACCACT